CAGAGCTGTAAACATGAAAGATATGAACAACGTCAATCCGATCATACATTATTTGTCAAACATTGCACTCAAGTAAGAAAGTCATTTTGATGTATACGTTGATGACATCATTTTTACAGGTGATCACGTTGAGGAGATTCAGAAACTCAAGCAATTCCTAACCCAAGAATTTGAAATTAAAGATGTAGGGATACTAAAGTACTTTCTTGGGATGGAAGTGGCTAGATCTAAAAGAAAATTTCAATATCTCAACGAAAGTACGTTCTGGATCTCGTAAAGGAGACTGAGATGCTAGGAAGCAAGCCTGCTAACACTCCTATAGATTCAACCATTAAGCTTGGATCCAAAACAGTGATAAAACAGTTGATAAAGAGAGGTACCAAAGACTCGTTGGAAAGCTTATCTATCTAGCACATACAAGACCTAACATCAGCTTTGCAGTGAGTACAGTAAATCAGTTCATGAATCAGTCATTTGAGGAATACATGAGAGTTGTGTATCGAATTCTGCGATATCTTAAAAAGACTCCAGGATAAGGGTTACTCTTTCAAATGACAGATAGAAGAGATGTTAAAATTTACACTGATGCAGATTGGGCAGACTCTACAAATGATTAAAGATTTACATCAGGGTATTGTACTTATGTTTGGGGGAACCTGGTCACCTGCGAAGCAAGAAACAGTCAGTTGTATCTCACAACAGTGCAGCATCTGAATTTAGGGCCATTGCTCATGAAATATGTGAAAGTATATGGTTAAAGAGAATGCTTGTCGAATTAAAGGCTCCTAACAACGTGCCTATGAAGGTGTGGTGCGACAATCAATCAGCCATCCGTATGGCCAAGAACCCTGTATATCATGACAGAACCAAATATTTGGAGATCGATCGTCATTTTATCAAAGAGAAATTACAAGATGGAACTATAACACTAATGCACATTTCAACCAGTCAACAGATTGCGGACATTTTAACGAAAACTCTACCTAAAAGAACCTCCGATGACATAATATCCAATCTATATTTACTCAACATATATGTAAACTAAATTGAGGGGGAGTGTAGAAAATAAGAAGAAATTAGGTTGTATATTTTCTGTTTCCTTTTTATTAGCTGTATACGAAGGAAGTTACAAACAGATTTCTTCCTCCCCATGAAATTGTTAGAATCTTGTTAGAATTTGTTGGGTTTATTAGCATTTAGGGTGTATAAATACCCATCATTCATGATGGAAAGAACAGATGAAAAGCAACATTTCCTCTCAAATTTCTTCAATTTCACTATCATATGACATCACAAAGTTGATAATCAATCATGTTATCACTAAGATCCAAAT